GAGAGAGAGAGAGAGAGAGAGCGCTATTTCTGACAATATTCGATTGACAGAAACTTATTTTAAACATTGGTCAATGATTTAAAATTCTAGAAGTGTAGAAAACGACTATTGAGCGTGAACGAAAAAAAACAAGTACAAAAATTCTATTTACGGGAACATTTATAATATACAGATTGATTATGAAGATTATTTTGTCTGGATTTCTTTCAAAAAACTAATATTATTTAGAATTTTAATCTTGTTCCAAGCAAAAATTTCTAACTCGCACGATACAAATAACGTGAGACGATTAAACTAATCTGTTAATTAGCAACATTTTTCATGTAATAACAAAATAAGTATTCAAATGTTAAAGAAATTAATATTAAATTTGACGGATATCAAATTGAATTCGTGTTTGATAGCATAATTCATAAATATCAAAAACATTTGCGTATATTTATTAAAACTCGATAGATTATACATATACTAAATTGAAGAAGTGATTTTATCTTTTATTTTATAAAATTTATCTGAATTATTCATTGAATAAATTTAATAGCTTGAATAAACGAATTATGCGCGCCGTCGGAATCATGCTTCTACTCGTCCCACTTTATTTTTATCTTATCTCGCATTTGACTAGATGTACTAACACGTTTTACGTAAAAATTGTTGCAGATCATAATTAAGTGATTTAAGTCTTAACTGAGCGATAAAAACAATTCTATTACAATATACACAATGTTTCTAATTGATCAAATTTCAATAAAGTGCTTATATCGCTAATAATATTGATAAAAAGAATGTTATAGAGATGCAAGCAAATGCAATTTTCACGATTTGCAGTTTTATAATATCGATAGTCTTATATTAACAAAAATATTTTGAATAAATTATTAAGAATTATGCTTTATCTACTCTTTTGAGTCATATAATTTCATTGAAAATAATTATTGTAAAAGAGCAACGAAGATTCATCAATAATACGCAACGCAACTTCAAAAATTCGCAAATGTTAAGAATCAGGAATATTATAAATCTTCAAAGTTTTGATTTCTCAAACATGATTTTCAGATATCGTGTTGTTCTTCAGTGAAATACAAGATTTTCCGTCACCAAGATAACTCGTATTTATGTACAAATGTCTGTTTACGATTTGAATGATTTTTTTATAGTTATACTCGATCAAAATGAGGTACGTAAATGAGCTCGCTTATTCGTGTGACACTTCATAGAACAAAAATCATAATATTATATGCACGACAAAATTAAATCAGAGGCTAAAGTTTATTTGTCTAAAGTATTAAGACAATTAAAAATAAAAGAATAAGAGATCTATCTTCTAAAAGCGATCCTAATCAAATTACGGAACGTAACTGAAATTCAAAACACATGTAAAAAATGTCTGAAAAATTAGAATTTATCTTTTGAATATATTTACAATATTATATAGAGATACGTGTACTCTCAAAGAATACATTCTTAAGAAATACTAAATCTCTCATTAGAATATCAGTGGAATTTAGCGGTGAAAAGAAGAATTTTATAAATTGCGTGCTCGCTAAGACGCGCGAATCTCGGACAGGTGCGACTCACTTGTTAGAAACAGCTTCCCGACTAGCTAATCTTCGGTTTCGAGAGACAGGTTAAGAAATCGGACAGAAATCAGACTTAAGGACCCATGTGACGAGGTACACATCTAACGAGAACGCCGGTGAGCCTCTTCGTGCATATCGCGCGCGCGGTTATAAACACGTCTCGGCGGTCTAGATACGGCGAACCATGTAAACACGGTAACAGACGAGCAAACATCTAATTGCTCTCAAATATTTGTGAGATAATCCCCCGCTCGGCCTCTAGTCACCAATTTTTTACCAGACTCGAACGAAAGTACCATCCGTTCGCACGATGTCCTGAGTCAACACGCGGCAAGGTGGAAGAGTTAAAACTCTTCGCGTAGCATCGCGAGAATCCTTGCTTCCAATCCGGCGCGCTCGGATCATTTAAGTCAATCTCTCTCACTGTATGAACGGTTTTTCAATGAAAGAGAGTATCATTTCCATTGTTGCAGCGTGCAACAGTGCCGCCACCGGCAACGCAGATTCATCCTCGCCGATTAACGAGCTCTGCTGCCGGCTTGAAACTCTCGGTACGAATTGTCATGTACGTCGTCGTGTACGATGTTAATAATTTGTTAATAATTTTGATGTTTGCATGCTGTGCTCTGTGCATGCAGTTCCCAATGTTACTTGGTAGATATTTCCGTATAAAACTTTTTCATTAGAGGCAAATTTCGAAAGCTACAAGGGAGTTTTAAGACTTGTAGAGTTTTTAATTATTTTCAACTTATACAATGCACATCATATTAATGTATGTTGATGTTCCTTGTTAACACGCTAACAACACTATACGCTAAAAAATCCGATTAATTTTCTTTTCGTTTCCTATGGTAGCTGAAAATAATAATATTAATTCTCTCGGCTTATAAATGCCATATTTGATCCACATGGGTTAAAATTGTCGCGTGCTTTCACAGTAAAGGTATTTCCATTTTTAAATTTCTTGGTACATTATATTGTTTCGACTGCTTTTCCCCATAATTTTTTCTCAGGTTCTTTCGATTTGTTTCCAAAAAGTTTTCATAAAAATTTGCACGCTTTCTTTCTATACAAACTTATCCAATTTCTTCGTGTGGTGCCATTTTTATTGCTTCCCTCTGTCCTTTCCTTTTATTCTTTGAATACCTTTTTTTTTTGGTGTCAATTTTGGTTATTTCTTTGCTAAGGGCTAAATAGCCGATAAAACTCTTGGTTTTCCGTTCAAAGATTTTAGCAAGACAATTGACGTCCTTGGTCGCACGACTGGACGGTTGCAGAAAATATTTGTATAATGTTCTTTCATTACTTTCACCGTACCGATGCGATCGAATGACTATCTTACCACTAGACATCATAGGCAATTGTCTAGGAACGCCACGAGAGAAAGGGGTGCTCATCCGTTACTAAAAACAATGAACGATTTAAGCATTTGCGAAATAAAACAAGTTTTCTTGATGTGGAAATTGATCAAACAGTTTTTACAAAAACCGTCGAAAAAACACGTGTTGAAAGTGACAAGTAAAGTAAAAATAATTTCCAAATTTAATTACAAATATTTAAATAAACATAAAGAGTTTATTAGCGCTTTAAATAAAATAATTAGTTGCTGATGCGTGCTTTCTTTGAATTTTAGAGTTAGATTGGGTTTGCCACGAAAGTAATTTGCTTAATACCGAAATATTGCCTAGGGGCGCACTGATTCTAAAACCGGCACTGCCCGTATCTGTACTTATCCTCATCAATTATCACTGTATGTACCATTACTTGTACTACAATCTTGTACTGTACTTATTCTATTGTAAGTTTTTTCCACATCTTTCCACTGTTGATTTATTTCATGCGCGTGCAGTAAGTACGCACTGTAAGTACCTTGAAACGAGCGTCCTTTACCATCCAGCGGCCATTCTCTGTTTATGATTATATTGCAGGCAGGAGCCACTCTTGCGGCCTGCTCCCATAATGCAAGAATGCAAGGTGCATTAGAATTTCGCATGCGGGACGCTTCTTGTTCACGCTTTCTCGTTCGCGCATCGCGAATCGCGCGCGTTCCGTGAGAGCGATCCTACGGCCTGGCGGCACGCGATTTCTGCCGCTTTTATGGCGCCTTCTTATCCCTCTGCGATTCCTTTATCAGTGATTAAAGGTAACATCGAGCGATGGAGGCAAGATCATTCGCTCGGACGTAAAAAAAGTACGTAAGAAATTGTTTTTGCCGATAATTGCAAAAGATAATCATGATCGTGTAGCTTTTTATCGCAATTTTTCCTCCTTTTTTTATTTGTTTTTATATTTGGTCCGCGAATGTCAATAAGTGTTGACGTCCTTTTTGAATGGAAATTTTTTTTATCCTCCTCATTGTAGATCAGTAAAATCAATAAATTTTACTTACCGTATCTAACTGGGGTCATCGTTTACAATTCACTGTTTTGTAAACAGGCTTGAAACGCGAGAAATGAATCGTTTGCTCCTAGTAAACTGTCGAAAGAAGAGATTTTCAAAGTAGAATAGATATCTCTAGCATGGCTTTGAGACTATTCTATCTTCTATGGTGTTCCCTGATTTTTTCCGTTCTTTTCTTTTATACCTGAGCATATTTTTATACCTGGTCATACTTGATACCAGGATACCTGCAAACAACTTTTGTCCGAAACTTTTGTTGTCCGAGACAACGTTTTTCAGTCTCATGCTTTATGGCTAATAAATTAAAAATGGTTGTCGGGTTACCAACTGTAATTTTCGACATTTGCTGTTGCTTTTCGTCACTTAGGTCCCGATCTATTCAGATACTCGATTAATTACAAATACTTAAGTAACAAGGCGCGTTTATAATATTAGATTTAGTTGAAAAACCATGTTTGCATTGAAATATCACAGAAAATATCGCAATATTACAAACTATTAAAGAAACGTTCCGCGAGGCTGGAAAGAAGTGGAGAGCTATTGCTGTTCTACGAGTCTGCGCGCGGCGGAAAATCTCTCTTCGTTCACAGGCACTTGATATGCGATATACAAATGCGAGATGGCACAATAGGGGTAATTGTGACGCCGTTGACGAATGGTACCCGCGCGAGTCGGCGTACATGACGGCACGACGCGGTCTCGCCGACACGAGATATCGCCGGGGTTTGTCAAACGCCCACAGGAAAAGCGGGGCACGCGCTTTTGCCATTTCGTAGTGTGAAATGGAAGAGCAAACGCTATAATGGGGTGGCAACGAGTCCCAGGAGCACCGTTTCTTCGACTCCCTTGCTGATGTCTTTTGTCTCTCTCCATTTCCCCTTTCTCCCCCCCATCTCTCTCTCTCTCTCTTCTCTTTCTTTCTCTGCGTCTCTGTATCTGTCTCTATCTCTGTCCTGTCGCATCTCTCGTGGCGTTCGTAAAATCTGTCGTCCCTCTCCGTGCTCGTTCGCATTTCGCGCGCGGATACTCGAGAGAAATAGCTCGAGTGATCGCCGGGGTGGTTTACTCGTTTAAAGGCACAGACGAGTGATGGACCACCATCGGATTGAGTGAGACGCATTTTAAGAAATCGTCTCCAATACTCCCGTCATGACGATGAATTTCTACGTAATAATCGGTACGCGCTTTTTGAATTGACGATGAAACGTTAGGCTACCGAACGACAACAGAAATATTTCCCGCATTGATCTTTTCGGCTTAAAGATACCAATAAATCAGTTAAAATTAATTTTTATATATTAAAAACGTGTAGTTTTTTTTGTACTTGCTTTGTTTCACAGAATTTAAAGCGGCAAAATTTTTTTAGCGAGCAACTACGGAATTTATCTTATAATCATAATTTTATAAATGTGAAACGTAAATTGTTACTGCTTGTAAAACTTATTTTCTGCTTTCTTATGAGCGATCAATCGTAAAAAGGTGTGAAAAGAGTACAAGTGAACAAATTTGTGCTCACAACCGCGTTATTGAGAGCGTTCGGTGCATCGTGCGATCGTGTTCGGCGCGTCACCGGATAATCGTAGGTGCTAGCTCCGATATCGGTGAGATGAAAAACGCCGACGGTAATCCTTCCTGACTCACACGCTTGTGCGACCCGTGCGTGCATTGAAAACGGTCGACTCGCTCCTGCAAACAACAATCTATACATATACCGCGCAAACCAACCGAGAGTTTCCGACGGACTCTTCCGAATGTAAAAAGTTCAAGAGTCGCACGAAGTTACTCCGTTAACCGTGAAAAAGTTCCAGAAACTAGAAACGTCGTTTTCTTAAGTCTCCCTTTTGCGTCGGATGTTATTACACCGAAAAAGCGAATCATTCGCCTTTGATATTAAAACATTTTTACTTTTAAATTGTACTTTATATATTTTATATACATAAAAGATATATATACCTTCTTTGAATTCTTTGATATCATTTTCGACACAATTTTTAAAAATATTACTACATTTTTAATAGATTTTCTTATTATTATTAATCTTGTATTAATCAAAACTTACTTTTAACAGTGTTACTATTAATTATTTACATCATTATTGAATTGTGTAATGGCAAAATTTAATTGTTTGGACATTTTATTATATTTCATGATTCAATTTTTAATTCTAGCATTGCATAGGTGAATGATGTAGCTTCTTTCGTCTTGAGATAAAAATCGATTCGGAATTGCGAAATTATCTTTGTGCGGTGAATCCCTGCCGTGTGCGCGCGTCGTACGTACGAGAAATCTATCACAATTAAGGCCAGTACCGCATACAGTTTGGAATTTTTTTTTGATTCGATTACAATCTTCCGAGATAAAGAGTCTGCCTTTTGATAAGGTTTAAGGATGTTTCATGTTTGTTTACGTGCATCAGGTTGCGCGACATTTGCTTTTAACGCGTCAAATATTTGCGCGCCCAACAATGTGCAGCGTGACAAAAAAAGATAGAAAAGAAAGGGAAAAATCCGAGCTACATTGCGCGATATCATATTGACAAAACTATGGCGAACAACGACTAATATTTATTTTCCGTTTATCTCATGTAAAGAGCTCTTTATTTATATAACAGAGATTTAAATCACTTATTATATAATCAAAACAATCGATTGCGAAAAGGAAATCTGTCGGAAGTGAAAAAAGATTATTTAAGAGAAAGATAATGCTCAGTTATGCATTATTAAATCTTCCGTTTCTCTAAAATTATTGTTAGATTCTTCGTTTCTCTTCAAAATTAAAAACGATTTAGATATTTAGATTCAAGTGTGCAATTCTTTTCTACGATAGAAACAAATTCTCTAATTAATTCATAAATCGATTTATGTTATTAATATATCATTAATGATATTTATAGGATTAAATAATGGTGATCAGAATAATGATTCAGAATTAAATTCAAAATCCATCTAATCCATCTAATCGAATCCCGGTAGCAATGGATAAGATGTAATGATCGGCTGCGAATGTATCGATTTGTTAATATATGTGCGTCTCTCGCATAGGATATACGGCAAAGGCGTGATTCAAGTATCATAGATATGAAGAGTTGGAAGTGTGCCTGCGATAACGATCGATCTCAATCTGAGTAGATGAAAACTCGAAACTCGACAGTCTGTAATATATTGCTCTGTTATTTGAACAGATTACACAGATTTGACAATGTGAACGCGCACCGCGAACGTCAACGCGTACGAATTTGTCTGAAACGTCAACGTATCGCCTAATTCTCTAAGTCCTTACTGTTTACATTATCTCGCAACGAATTTTTTGCACAGCGTAGAAGAAACGCGTTGTACAGATAAGGTAAATCTTTCGTGGGCAATGATGTGTATAACGATACAGATATATAAAATTTGTTTGTTCGTAAAAGCGCGCTGTACAAGTGTTTTATATCTTCTTAAAATTCAAAATTTTCTACAATGATTCTTTCTCTTTTCAGAAAATGCAGAAAGAATTAAAGAAAACTCTTTCTTTGCAGATTTCTAACTGATATGATTTTTTCATGTTTAGATTAGATAATTAGATTAGATAAAAAAGTTAATGAAATTTTACTTTGTAAAATTATTAATTTCTTTCTTGACGAAATGACTGACTAATTGTTGAATTTGATATATTCTCGAAAAAAGAAAGTACATAAAAAAATTCAAAGACATAAAAAAGTTCAAAGAAATATTTAAAGGGATCTCAGATCTCGAAAGGATAGCACGTTGAACATTTCATAAAATACTTTTGAAAGAAATGTGAATCTCCAATTTTATGCGTTTCATTCGTAGAAATATTTAAAAAACCGTTAAATTTCTTTCGACACTTCGACATTCTACAATATATAGATATTTCCTTCTTTTACTCCATGCAGTTTTTTTGACGGCACTATGTTCATCCGTTCTTATTGTTGCTCGAGTAGCCTTGCATATCCTTTCGATGCCAGCCATGTTGGTTGCACCTGGACTCATGCTGTGAACGTATACTACCATCGAAAAATCTAAGGTCGCTGGTTATTCGTGATGCCACGAAGGCCTCGGAGTTTCCTTATCGAGGAGTGGTGGATTAACGTGCACGCCTTTGATCTCGCCGGCGGGGCCTTATCTAATCGTCTCCCTCTCTCCCGAGTCATCTCTCACCGTTCCCATCCCTGTTTCCCTATTCCTCTCTCTCCATTCTGTATTTTGTGCGCGTGTTACCGCCGCGAACGCCACGTCGTAAGAGCCGCACATTCACACCATGCGATTGCCACTACGTAACTCCTTTTTTTCTACTCCTGTCTCCCGCGTGTATCTTGACAATTCACTGCCTTTGCTAAGAAATAATCGTGCTTTGCATCATACATCGTAAATTTATTTTCTTTTTTAAGCCGTTGCTTCAAGCTATTGCTTTATATATTTGTCTTCTATTTATATTAATATTAATTAAAAAATAAGTTAATTGCGATTCTTATGTCCTTGGCGCATTGTGATTATGATTATTGTAAACGTAAGCTACCAATGCATTTTAGTTATATTAATGCTGCATTAAATTCAGAGTAATTAAAATTAAAATGCGATTGTCATGTGAAACAATATTACGTATAATGAGTTTATGATATTAATAATTTATACTATTTTTAAATGATAAATACTTTATACATTTTCTCATCTTTTCTCACATTTTTTAATCGTTTGTGCTTCTGTAATTGGAAATAATATGAATGCAATTATATTTTCACAGCGCTGTTTAAAAAAAATTCTCTCTCTATCTCAACTTTTATTAATTCTTAAAGATTATGTATAGATCATTCTGTTGATCTTTTACTTTGAATTTCTCAAAACTTCTTTTACTCCGGACAATTGAATTTTTTCCTTAAAAAGAATTATTCGCAATGAAGATATACTGGTTGTAACAATGACATAAAATCTCAATTATTCTTCAAATATCTAAATAGTGTTCTATTTCGAATTCTGTCGTGAGTTATAGATCGTTGAAAGTAAGCTATATTGCAGATGAGGTATGTAATTGTTTATCCTAAATATAGAATTTCTTGTAGAATGGCGAAAGAAAATTACAGGCGTTTCTCACATTTTTCAATCCTTTCCGACTAAATTTTGACGAATGAATTGATGTTAAGAGTATTTCGTATATTAAAGCTATCGGGTGAGACAAATGTAATAATTAACTGCTGTTATTTAAAAAAATGTATGAACATTAAAGCACAGCATAGTTTGCAAATAATCATGTATTGCTTCAATAATTTGTAGAATTATGCGCGGATTGTCGTAAAATATTATATGTCGAGTCCACGATAACGAAGGATCGCGAAGGATTAATCCGTTGTGAAATTAATTACGAAATCTTTGTTAATATCGCCACGCGGTATGCGCGTACGCTGAAAACGTTATCTTCTTAATGTACTATTGACAAGAGAATCAGTACGATAGATATTTAACCGCGTAATAAAGCGTTGTTATCTTCGTTTTTTCAGGAAAAACCAGAACCAAAGACAAATATCGTGTGGTCTACTCAGACTATCAACGGCTGGAGCTGGAGAAGGAGTTCCACACGAATCGTTACATCACCATTAAGCGTAAAAACGAGCTTGCTTACCAACTTCAGCTCACTGATCGTCAGGTAAGACATTGTTTTAGAGACAGATGTTCTAACAGCTATTTCGCACCATTCCTTCGATAGATTAAGATTGTTTTAACAGAAATTGTGGTGTTTTGTATCAATGATCAGAGTAAAGTTTGCTTTACACGATTCGTAATTTATGATAAGAATCACGATAGAACTGTGCTAATAATTTTATAAAATAGAACATTCTTTCTTGATAAATCAGAATATAGACGCGCAAAATAACGTATTTATTATACACGTGTGTGAAATAATATGAATTTTTATATCCGTGTAGATGAGAGAGAAAATTTCTATAAAAAATCTTCGCAAAAGACCGATACAATCCGATACAATCCGATACAAAAGACCGAAAAATACAATCATCGGAATGCCTATTTGCAGGTGAAAATATGGTTTCAAAATCGACGTGCGAAAGACCGCAAGATACGTAAAAAGCAGCAGGAACAACAGCTAAGAGATCATGAGCAGGCGCAGTTTGCGATAGTTGCGGCCGCAGCGGCGAGCGGAGTGCCGATTTATTCAGCACCCGGAGGGGAAGTAATGATGCTGGGTAATCATCTCATGCACGTCAATGATAATGTTTCTTCCATACCGCCGCCGCCGCCGCCGCCGCCGCCGACGCAACCGTTGCCTCCGCAGCCGCAGGTTCCGCAGCAGCCGCAGGTTCCGCAGCAGCCGCAGGTTCCGCAGCAACCGCAACCGCCGTCGCACTCTGTACAATACCCGCACCATACTAGTTCAAATTAGGTATTCGGCAATGTTCTAACCCTCCTAAATTCGATTACCCGTCCATTACAGGGTAGAGATAGAAGTAATAGTATTACTATAATTGATGCTATGGAGGGGGAAGAGTATACGCTTGTTGTAAATAAAACGTTTGTAAAGATACTCAATGTCCGTTATTCGTTAATGGGCAACGTTATTATAACGACACAGTTTTATGTACTAAATCGCATAGCTTTTTCACAGTCTGTGATAAACGACGATCCGAACGATGAACGGTTCGCTCGTGGATTACGGATGTGGTCGTACGGATTTCACATTTGCAACGGATTTTCGATTCGCGCCCACGACAGTCCGCTAATGTGATCTCGATTTATTTAGAATTTTTCTAGTTTTATTTGTAGCCTTTTTCTAATTTTTTGTTTGGACATCATTAATACTTTCCTTCCATTGAAGAAACGAAATTGGAATTGCGAAAGCTATTAATGATACCACACAATCCGTAGACTATATGAATGCCTTCACACCTGAAGTCGAATCTAAATATATAAATGACATCTAGGTGTTTACCAAATATTTCGAATAATAATTATTAGTATTTTTTGTTATAGCGCTAATATTAATATTGGCCTATGATTTTGACAGTCGATGTCATTAAAATAAGAAATATATTTAGATATTCATATAGGCTACAATGTTGTACATATATTGTTGTACATATTTTGTAATTGTACCTAAATATTATGTTTTTAATATTATGATTTTACTTTTCTTTAACAACATATAATTATCATTTCGTAAGATGTCACGAATTTTTTCATCTTTATTTTATAATAAGAATAACGATGTTTCATAATAAATTAAATGTATCAATAAATTTTAGCATATGAAAGCAAACTATTCAAAAATTTAGTCGAAGTAGAAATTATAACTCCGTTCATTTAAATTTATAAAATCGCCTTTATCGATTGTTTATTTAAAATTTTATTTGCGGGTGTTACAAATTTTTACAACTTTTTTTAACTGTACGTAAACAGTATACTTGCAGTTAAAAAATTGATTAAATTTACATTGAATTAGACCCAGATAATGATTCGAACTTGGTTTGGGAGAGATTTGATTCAAATGTATTCAGAAATTTTGAATTTTTTCTAATCAAGTGTATAGCTATAGCTGAGCTTGATAGTCTTACACTTACTTTTAACTATATTATGTAACACTCAATATGTTAAATCACAAAACTAAAGGTACATATTATGAAATATGTGTAATATAAATTGACAAGGTCTTTTTGTACCTGTATACATAGATGAAATCATATACTTTGATTTAAATAATTTTTTTCTTTTTTTTTAATTTTTAATTGAATTTTTACATGTGATTTATGATATCTTTAGCATCTGCATTTGCCATTATGCTTTGCGCTCATTATGCTACTAATGGTGCTAAATTTGTACATAAAAAATATATTTAATATTAATATAATATGGTCAAAATGTGTGCCTTAAAAATAATTGAAATTTTTATGCAAATAATTATTTAATTTGTTTACTTAATGACACACTTGATGTTAAACTGTAATTGGTTTGATAATGAAATAAATCTTATACGTGTAATCATTATGTCGTAAAGTTTGTTTTCTTGATTTCTTATTATGAAAATCCTTCTTTTGCATAAAGCTAAACATTGCTATTTCCGTAAGTATAAAATTAATATTGTTAAATTAATAAATATTGTTCTTTGTTTCAAATAGTGAGAAAAAGCATTGATATGATTAAGAAATAATTAAATCAGATTTTTGGTAACTAATTAATCAAAGTTTACTAAGTCAAGAACAAATGAGTAATTTTACATACATTTTTTTCCACAGTGTGCTTTCAACATATCTTCAGCGCATGATTGCTTATGTGCACATTTTCCAGAGAGTGAAAAATTTAAAAGTACTTACTTGGCGCTGATTATCATGGTAGAAGCGAGCACTTACCGTTGTCACATATCGGCAGCATCCACAAAAATCATCTCGATTAATTCATTGTGACGATTCCTCGATGCCTTCGGCCGATGATCCTGATGCTCTACAGCATTAGATATTCGAGTTGTCCGAGCAGACCACACAAATACGATATTCATAAAAAGATAACATCACAAACGCGCGACGAATCGATGACGCGATTAAGATACCGTTTATCGAGAATCGCGTTAACGCGTATAATGAGATATAATCGCGGAATAATTAAAGCATAACACTACTTGATTCTTCACTCCCGGCACTAATTTGCGAAACACTTTTTCGATCTGTAAAACGCTGGAAAGACGCAAAAACGTTCGCCATTCCGAATCCACTTCACTAAACAAAACGAACTGAGATTAGATCATTACGTATCAGTGCTTCCATATGCGCGATGAAACACACTAAAATCTCTTTGCAATTATGGTATATTACGTGATCTTTGTCATATATTATATTTTTTAGTGTTGCCCACATTTATTTAGTGTTGGCTACATTGAATCTAAAAGTACAATCCACGGACTAAGGAATAGAGGGACCGAGTCTAAAGTCCTAGTTTAGGCGAGAGGGGGATGGTAATTCAAGCGTGCGGGAGGGACTGCTTTCCGCCATATTGATGTAGCGATTCTCACACAGAGATTCTGTGTCTGTGACATGGTTACACTCGTGTAGCGGTGCCACTAGACATAACGAGTGACAAGCATAAAGAGATTAGGCGGTTTTATTATTGTTGTATTATAAATTTTATAAAATACTTTAACTTTTATTACTCTGAGGCTCTGCATACAGTAGACAAAATATTAGAAATAGCAATAAATATTTAATATTAAAAAGAGAAATTATTTTACATCTAACAAGAGAATAAAATATATTAATTAGTTCCAATTCTTATTTCTTAATTCATGCATTAATTTTTTCTATTCTTTTTATTTTTAAAATAAATAATTCCAATTTCTTATTTCTAATATTTAATAATTATTCCTATTTCTATTTCCTATTTTGTTTATTGTGCACAGGATCTGACTTTTATTTCGCACACATACGCAAATAGTGAGTTCTATGTGTGGTGATTACTAAACGAATATGGCGCCCCCCCCCCCACCGCAAACGTGCTCCCCGGTACAGCTTGTGCTCCGTTCCTCTATTCCTTAGTCCGTGGTACAATCGGATTTTTCTGTACGCGCGCATTTTTTGAAGATCTATCATAAAATTGCTATTTATTTATAAAAATAGCATAAATATATTATTAAGAAATTAAATAAATTGCAAGCAATTTGATTGTAACATGCTTCTAATATAAAGGTTTACTGCTGAATAATTAATGGAAAATTTTGCAAGCTAAATGTAAAAGAAAAATATCCACTGCTACATTTTAAACAATATAAATTGAATATATATTTAATACAATTTCATAGAAAAGTGAAAGAAAGCAATTAAGTATAATTTTATATAAAAATAGAAAGAATATATAATTTTATACAATTATAATAGAGAGAGAGTATGTCATTCATTTAAAAACTTTGTTGAAAATTTTATAAAAATAATATTTAAATTCTATATAAAAATACAGACAATAATTTTTGTTGCAGAAATAAAATATTTAATTACCGTCACTATATTAACACATATGCATAAATTAAAATATCGTAACACGCGCGCATGAAAAGCGTTTTTATTCTGAAATACGCAAACATTGAGTTCTATGGCCGGTATTCATAGTCCGTTCTTATATTTAAGATTGTCTTAAGTTTTGTCTTAAAATGCTACGAACCAATCAAAAAGCCATATTAGTATCTTAAGACGACGATGACGACGACTTAAGACAATCTTAAATATAAGAAATGACTATGAATACCGGCCTATAACATACTGGAGCGAGCCTTTCAGGAGTGGGGATGTCTCCATCGGTCGAAAAAGACAAATAGATTACGTGAGGCTAGTCTTCCTTGTCAGTGTATGTTTTCAGCATAAGCAATAGAACGTAAAAAGAGACAGAAATCCTCACATTGCTATATGTGTCCTTTTCTAAATTGCGGACGCAGTTTTCTTTGTTCGGGATAGGAAGGCTCGCTCCAGTATGTTATAGAACCATTATAGAACTCAATGTACGCAAAGCGTTCTTGCTCTCCTTCTTTGTTGCGTTTTCACAGCTCAATTTGTGTACAGCCTCAGTCGCGTTCCGGAATAATATATACTTATTTAGTCCTAAAATACTCGAAAATAGTCTTTCAAAACGCTGTATTGTTAGTGAATACGATACGCTCATATATTACGGTTCCCTGCAATTCTTGAATAACCCTTGAATAACCCTGAATAGCACGCGTGTCGACGTGCGAACAATAAGAATATAACCTAATTATGCGACGGTCACAAAATTTACTCCAAGAAAGAGTTTTAGGCATACCATAACCAAATTGGAAATATTCCTCTACTTAGGGGGTAACTTTACAAAAAAAAAGAAATGGTCAGAAATCGTTCGAAATGCAAAATCTTGGGTCGGAAGTGAAGTTACGATTTCTTCCTGTTTCTTTATTTAACATAAGCTAAACATAAGGTCTGTTTTTTATAGCTGAACTGGCTGTACTAGTTCAGAGTTTATCTTTTTCCCTCCACATTGGAAGGAGAAAGATAAACTCTGAACTAGTGCAGCCAGTTCAGCTATAAAAAACAGACCTATAAACATCACGTATGTGCGAGTGCCAGAAGTGAGCGATTGTTATAATTATTAATTAGGCAATAACGATCAAGTGTATTTCAACAAAGTTTACAGCTCAATTAGCACAATCTCGCATTGGATATGTTTTATTATTCACGAGATGTGCTGCAAATATTATTTATATTGCAAATGCAATCGAGCATTGAAAATATCGGCAAATTTGTGTTCAAGTCGTGATCGCTTTGCATTCTCGCGTCTTTTCGTTCATCTAACATAAGTCTAAAGCGTAAACGAGCGCGAAATGATGAGTGTTGAAGTGTGCTACATTACAATTAATCGGCATGGACATGAACCTCTATCTGGAATAAAGGAGCAGGACAATTAATCAGCATGGACACGGAACCTCTATCTGGAATAAAGGCAAAACAAGAAAGGAGCAGCAACAGGAGGAGAAATAACGAGGTACATTAGCTGAGGTAAGTGAAGTTTGTTTAACAGCAATGACCAAAATAATTAAGGTTGCAAAGAATTTTATTCATCTTTTACTTATATAATTATAAAAAGATAGATAAATTATATATTATTAATACTCTATTTAAGTACGAACTGCAATCAGAAAGAAATTATTGCATATTTGTGACAGGCAATTTTTAAAAATCAAAGAATTAATCAGAGATAAATAGATCAGTGTGTTCTAATATCATTCATACAAAAACTAATTTTTAATTTTATATTTGATAAAAATCAACTCAAAAAATTTTTCATATTTGGTAAAAGCTCGTCTGAAATAATTGGCAATTATTCTTTGTTTTTATCCATAAAATGCCTCATTATTTTGAAGTATGAGTTAATACGTCTCATAAATAATAATCGAGGAACTTGTTATTTCAATGATGCAATAATAACAATATAATATAATTCTTAAAACGTTCGTGTTACTTATGTCTGTTGGGCAAAAATTATAATTATAAATAAACTCGAGATTAGCAAATTTATTAACTGATTAATCCCGACTTAGACGCGGAGAGTAATTCTCGAGTGAACGAAGTGGCCCTTTAGCGATCTGTTTGCTTTTTCGCGGCGAAAACGTTCGCCGCCGTTATCGGTGTCGTCGCGCCGCGGCACAAACAGGCCTTGTTAGAGATCGGCGCGTAAATGCAAACGTAAAAACGCGTAATACGCTTTATGCGAGAGCACGCGAATCGTCCTCGCGCGTCCCGAATCGGGGAGAGACCGGAACGGCCGTGCCCCATCCGCGCGTAACCGCGAGCGCGCAGACGAAAGCGGCAACGAGTCCCGCGGGTGCACTGGAGTTAACTACCAGATCGATGTCCGACCCCAGTTCATCCTCATCCCCCTCTGAAACCGACCCCCCCTGACACTTCGACACACAGCTCGAGCTAGTCTGTCGAACTGGGAACAACTTTGCGTGGTTATGCGACGCCGATTCGGAGTCGCGGTTTCTTCCCGACGGCGAGACGTTTCTCCTGAAAGTTTCTTCGTTCTGTAAACACGACCGTTGCGAAGACATTAATGGCTTGGTCGATGCAATTGTGCAGTCTTTTTGGGTTGAGATTTCAGTTGAATAATAGCAAGGAAAGTTGTGCAAATAAAAATAAATGAGAATTAAATTCTCGCTTATAAAAATACACGTTTATTGCTGAGGAATTATTTTGAGTATACAAATATCTCGCACTCTTTTCAAAATCATTAAATAAGTAATGCAATAAGAGTTATATTCCTTTTTAAATCTTACGGAATCGATAAGTCAATTATAGTAATAAAAAATCTGGGTAAATTTTGTATAAGAATTCATAATTTAATACGATATGAATGTTCTTGAATCTTTTCGAATTTTTTCAATCGCAAATCATGCAATTAATCTGCGGCAACTTTTCCTTATTGCATGAACATTGAGGGGTATCATTATTTGAATTTTTGGTTAAAAATTTGTTTTTTAAATATATAGAAATTCTTTATACCATGTTTTGTTTTATCTATACCGAAAATAATTCGGTTAACAAAGGTAGAGTATGCTATGATGCTAGGTCTCGAATAAATCTGACGATTGCGCCCGACGTTATGAGAAATGAGCGCTCTGGAGAAATTAATGGGCGCGCTGCATAGCCATATCTGTTCTCCAATTATTGCTATAGCGCCGATTATACGAGGGTTCGACGTAGTACTTCGTCGTAGGCGATATATCACTGTTTCCATAGAAGAGTGTGTAGAGAGGAATGTAATTGTGGATGACATAAAAGTAACAATATATCGAAATTTGATCGCATCGTCGTGTTTTCATTATTATTCGTTTCGGTCTTATTGTCAAAATTTATTTGTCAAAAACGACCGCATCTCTTTATTACTATTCTGTTTGAATCTTGCTGTCGAAGTTATTTATCGAAAACGACATCATAAAAAAGGGAAATCATTGATTTACATTTATTCATACGTCCAGAATACATTTATATATTACATTTATTCATACGTACAAAAACATACCTACATTATTATAAATATGTAATAGTTTACACCGAATAGTTCACGACATTTCACAAACTGTTAATAGTATCAGGAACCTTGTAACATTTCATAATCTAGATTTTGGCAAAAATCGTCACTAGTATAAGAAATACTGATGGCAATTTAATGTTATATGTTTTATGCATTATGCTCAGCGTATCGATGGCCGCAGATATTTTGTACGATCAGAAAGCGACATTCAAGCTAAATTTATTCAACCACATCGCGCCGACAAAGGCCGCTTACTCATTCTAAAATCTACAACTTAATAAATTAAAATGAATATAAATTCTGGTCGAGGTAGTCACGCTTTATTTGCTATGCTGATAAAATTAAGTGTTAATATGACACGCAATTTGAGGAAATTAGTTACTTAATTAAGTACAAAAAAAATATATATTACATATCCGAAATCATTCTCTTTCTACAAAATAAATTATATTTAAATAAATTCTGAAATATTTATTACATATCTTTAAATTAAAACGTTACATTTTTTACGTTACATTTACGTTTTTTAAGTTTCAAATACGAACAGTTAAGCCTTTTTAGGACACATCTGTTCGCTATTATGTTGAAGATTTTAGCAGGGTCCGTCATATTTTTTGAAACACAACGGGACCATCAAAAGAGAAATAGCAAGGACATCTCGATTTCTGCATGAGAAAACGTGCGACAAAAATAACGGGAAAAACAAATTTAGAAAGAGAGAAAAATCGGCGTTATCCTTTTAAGGGACACAAAAGAATAAGGGTTTTCTAGTCGGCAACTCGTACGTAATTGGACCTAAGATGCAACATGATTTTACGTGTGTCGACGTATACCTTTAACAGAGTATACACAGAAGGTACACCTTTTTGTTCGTTTTGACCGGGTTCGGCTGTACCAGACGAAAACACCAAATAGATTTTATGAGGGGGCTATAAAGGCTGTCTGAATCTCGATTCTGGAGTATCGATGGTTCCAAAGGGGCTAATCTGCGGATGAAACTGTAATAAAACGTTTGCCCTATGTATGTATAGAATCTTTTGCGCATCCTTGCGTGGGGTAGTTCAGGTATTTTTTCTTTTCTTACGCATTCTTTATAAAGTTTGTGCGTATTTTTACTTTGACACGCAAACTGATTTTTTTTCCCTCACTTTTTGGAGACTGATTTTTAATGCATTTCATGTTTGAGTACAATTTTAAAATTTTGTAGAATTTGGAATGTTGCTTTAAAATTTTTTCAATATTAGTTAAATAATATTATAAAGAATAGTATTACATACCCACAATATATTAATATAACAAATATAACAAATTTAAGTTGATTTATGACACAATCGAAAGCATGTAAAAAGTCTAAAAACAATTTATGCATTTATTGTATTTTGAACAAATATAATATGTTTAATATCGGTCAATTACATGTTTTTATAAAAAAACTTAATTTTTTTGTTATATATTAATAATTTTATAATACTTTAACAAAGTTTCATAAATATTTGCAACTTTTGGTCAACTGTAATAGTTAATCTTTTATCTTTAGACTTTTTGTATTATAATTTGCAATATAAATATATTATCTATATATTACTTATTTGGAAAAAAATGATAAAATTGACGTAACGTTCAATAATATTTTGCTAATAATTTTAAAAATACTTACAAAACATTATTAATTTATGTGTATTTTGAGTTCTGATATTTTTCTTTTTAAATTTGCAGATATTTATTTCTTATAAATATGTTTACATGTGTTGTTTTTTATATGAGAAGGATACACTTTTGAAGTTTTTAATAATAAAAAAAATTTTGTTGTTTCTTGTCTTATGTTATTTTTTAAAATTTAGTATAAAGACGTTCAATTTTATTCTGAACTAACTGCATTGCCAGATTTTACACGTGCTCAAAATACTGTCAGTAGTGCCCTCGGTAGGATTCTTAAACGCAACTCTTACGAAACTTCCGTCGATATTATATTTCCAAGAGCATTATCTCTTGTTGATATATTGAACATCATTAATTACTGTACAGTAAATGTACATATAAATGTAAGAAATATAGGTCTAATTATCAATTGCAAAACTATTATTCCATTATAGTTTAAACGTCCAGATATTTTATTTTTTTATATTCGCATGATTTAGGACAGTTGATAATATTAGCGCTACAATTATTTTCGAGCTACAAGTTTGTGATACAAGCTACAAGATGTCGCGTCGTGTCAATCAGCTGTCTCCTTGAGAACAGCTGTTGCCAAGGAAACAAATGACGCGCTGTGAACAAAACATATGTTAATAGAGTTTCTGAAGCACGCGATTATTTTTATAACAGTTTTATAATTTTACAGCGAGAGAAAAGCGAGCGTAATTTAGAGATTTTGTTCTATGTGTTTAAAATTAAATTATTTAAGGCTTTATTCTATAAACATTATAAATTCTGTAGAAATTACAATTTGTTTAAGTAGAAATATTAGAGTTATAATTAATTTAACGACAAGAAAGGGCCAATAAGAGCGTGTATCATAATTATTCTAAACTCTGTGAGTGAACTCTTTCCAGAAAAAAGCGATCTTGTGTTAACATTTTTTTTATAACTGCATATAATGTCTTCCTCCGATATCGACTTCATAAGTGGATCGACACAGCGTTCAGAAGACAAAACCGAGCAAGATCTCAGCCTCTGCTACGCATATCCGGTGATCAATAACGACCTGGAGACGAGCAGCGTGCTCGTGAAAAGCAAAAGAGTTTCGCGCGTGTCGAACAATAAAGATTCATCGGCCGAGGATGGATTATACGTGTCCGAGAATCCTCTCACCGATAAACTGGTGAAACCTTATCCGCTCGACAGCGTGAAGCCGTTAGATTATGAATCGCGATCGCAATTTCGCGGAAAGCTCGTGGAGATCGCGATACGCGATGTTCGCATTCACGCGCCGCAGGCGGATCAATCGAACGATCGATCCGAGCCGACGATCGAGATTACCGCGGTGTCTATTTTGTTCGAGAGAAAGACGATATGCCGAGTGAACGGGCCGTTCAACAGAAAACTGTACAGATTGTTGATCAGAAATACGGAACGGCACGATCTCTCGATACAGGTGCACGCGCGACACGGTGCGTCCAGCGTGCTGCCGTTACCGTTGCCACGGCGTTGCGTGAAGGATCACAAGATCGAGATAGACTTCGCGATCGGCAAGAACTCGGGTAAGCTATACGCCGGGACCGTCGTCTGCACCGTCTCTCTGTCGACGTACGGCGCCAGCGAGCGCGAGGAAGAGAGCGGCGCGTGCTTTTACAGACCGAGCAACGATCCGAACGATCCGCAGAACAGCCTCTCCCTTCTGAGACCCGCGAAGCGTCCCGCCGCGAAGGACGTCAAGTACTTTCTGCTGCAGGACCCGGCCTTGATCTTCGACGTGGACATCAGCGCGATTCGCAGACCGCCTTCGTGCGAATCGAAATCGCCGGACATCGTCGTGACCGAGCAGCCCGCGTTCTCCCTGCTGAACGTGTCCTTCCGGAATCTATTCCAGGCCAATCGACCGCTCAGACCATCGTCGTCCGGCGGTCGTAGACGTCACACCGCCGGGAAGACAGTTCTCAGCGTCACCGTTCTGAGGGGGGTAGAGGTGCCGGTGAGGGAGGAATCGGCGCTGATCTCCCCCCTTTTGGAAGTGGAATGGGGCAATGTCGTACACACGACTTCGGTGGCGGACGGGCCGGCGCCCGTCTGGCAGCAGACCATGCATTTCGAATTGCCGAGACAGAACGGCGAGCATTGCGTCAAGTTCCGTCTGTACGATCAGCATCCCGTCTGGGGTCAGCAGTGGCTGGGCGAGGCGAGGATCCCGCTCGAGCGTCACAGGAACTATCAGGAACTCGAACGATGGATCGCGCTGTCGCCCCTGTTCAGTCCGGCGCTACTCTTCGGCTACGTGCAAGCGAGCCCCGGCCAGTCGCACACCAGGATCTACGTGCTAATGAGAATGGAACAGCCGGGCAACGCGAAATCCGTGGAAACCAGCGCGATCGATACTTTGTCGAAGGGGATCCAGCGTTGTTTAGCGACTCCTTATAAAATAATCGGCGTCGACACTCCCGACGACGCTGCACGTCTCACCATGCTGTTATCGTCGTTGCCCGTGCATTACGGCCCGGTTGCGCCCCGTCAGGCTTTGAATGTGAACAAAGTAGATCACTACGGCAGAGGGGCTCTGCTGGCGACGTTACTGCAAGGTTTCGGCTTGCAGTCGTATGTATTGTTAGGTACAGTTTGAGTCTGATTCTTAAACGATTTTTACGCGCGAGTTGACTCTTATTGGCCCTCTTCTTCATGATATTTCTCACGCTAGGTTCCTCGCAGATTAGTAGATGGACCGCGTTTGTCTTGAGCATCGAAGGGGACGATATTGTCTTGTGGGATCCCGAGATCGGAGATCATTATAAATTAAGCGACAGCCGTTGTTCCTTGATGAAAGTGTATCGCTTAATCAATCATGCTGGCGTTAGTATGAAGCATTCGCTTTGATTCTTAAGTAGCGCAGGTTTACCTTAATTTTTCATATGATTCTTCTATTTTAGATATGGGAAAACATGCAAAAGTCCATTTTGCCTAACATTCTGAAATATAACGTGTCGATTAGCAAAGAGTGGCGGCCGCTCGTGACTGTTGCCACATCGAGTAACAACCGGTCCGTTCAGACGTTGGAATTAACTGCCGCGACCGAGGAAGACGCGCAAGAGAAGGAAAACGCGTCACAGATGGAGCAATATTTACGGGACAAGTTGTCCGGCTGGCGCAGCGCTCTCGGTTTAACGACGATATTCAATCGTCACGCGGTCAGCGTTTTGCGCGGCTTCGTGTCCGACATTCCGAACGATGTGACACGTCATTTGGACAAACGAGACCTGAAACAATTGTACAGAGCTTATCACACGCACGGTTTCCTCTTGAATCTGCGTCAGACCGCCTTTGACGAATTGGCAGAGCAAATAGCCGCCACGAAAGTTCATAACATTACGGGGCCCATCGAATTCGCTCTCGTTTGCCATGTGCAACGATATGTTGGCAAGACAAGGTCGATATGGTTAGCATTAGCAATATTGCGAAGTCGCGGTTAACACCGCCACTTTCTTTTATCGATGTACAATTTTTAAAGAGAGCGAAGCCATTTTTTATTCCGATATTTTAAAATGTCTTCGAAACCGCCACTCCGCCGTAAAAGTTGAAATGAAAATGCCTTTGCCAAAATTTAGTGCCATTTAGATTAATGAATTATAAAAACCTGGAAATATTACTATAAATAAATGCTGGATTAATAAATAAAGAGGGAAACAATCGATAGAATTAAACATGTATTTCATTCACTCGTATATCGAAAGCTATCTAATCGTTTCTCAATGTTTCCATATAACTGCCTATTATTACATCATGAAGGATTATGATGCTTATTCGCATTGTGTGCTATTTGCAACGCGTGCTTATCGCAATGTTTCTAATTTGTGTATGATATTGATCGCTTTTAAGCTAGCGGGAGTTCCATTATCTGCAAAATATATAGCAAATAACAACTATAAAGAAATATTTTATAACGTTAAATGATAGAAAAATTTTGAAAATTGTCTGAAAGGATAAATAAACATAAATCGTAAAGAATTAACATAATAATGCATTTCATTCTTTCAAGCATTGCGCAGCAATGCAATTTATATAACAATTGCGTCATTCGTTATAACATAATAATGATAAACATATGAACAATAATATAATTACCTAAGAGAAATTCAGGAATATATTAGAAGAAAATACACGATTCGCAAATAATCAGCATTTGTCGTTGCAAATGATCATCTTGTCATTTATTAAAAGTACTCGCTCTGAATTTGTGAATTTTGACAAATCATAATTCGTAACTTTTGGTGAAAAGTACATTCGTGATTTTACACGTATAGTAGATGATGGACGTTTTCTACTTTTTTTTACTATGATTTTTCATTACTGTCGTAATTCTAACTGCGCCGAAAACGCGTTATTTGTACGCACACACCTGGATTATTTGTTGTAGAAAAATGTTGGTATAAAAATTTTCGTCTAACTAATCGAACTAACTTTTGTTTGTCGCTTAAATACGTCATTTGGAAACGAATAGAAGTCTATCGACAATATTACGTGCAAATATATGTAATCGTTTAACAAAAGGACAAATCTCACGGATCTCTCCATTAATTAAAGTGAATTTATTAAAAGTTAATTACGCGCACGCGTTATAGGCTTTCTGGATTATAACTCATTAACACTAATTTATACAAGGTTAACACGGCGAAATGACGCCTACGATATTTTTAATTGCACCAATTTTCCAAATGCACGCAGATATATATTTCATTATAAAAATTTCATAAATTGACGTATTGTACTAAATTTCGAACTTTTGTTTCTTTTTATAAATGTAATTGCAATTTTCCACACCAAAAAGAACGAAACAGACAATGAAAAAGACAACCTTTTAGTACAAATTTTTTCATTTGTTTACTTATTTCGTTAGAATTTTTTTTTTTTGCATCCATCCAATTTGAATAAATAGACCTGCAGGGTCGGATCCACGATCTGTTTATCTATCTTTATCTACATATTCCTTTTCCGTTACATTTGTTCAGAGAATCTTATAAATAATATTATATTATCCTTATAAATAATCTTATATTTTGTTATGAAGAAACAAAATATTTTTTTATATATCTACTCTTGAAAGAAGATTGTTTCCCTTTTGACGATATTTTGATATATTTATTTCGGTTTCGTTAAAGTTCCAGGAACTTTAATTAGCCCCACCGCATCAGATCCCGAAGTACGCGAATTCAGGCCCTGCAGGCCTATCGCGCGAATCGCACTCGGTCATAGACTGCTTCCGGTGTTTATATTCCTTAATATGTACAATTGCTGATATCAGCGTGGTATCGCGAATGCGTACAGTTGTCGAGCTGATGAGAGGAGAATCGTCGCGCGGATCGACAAGTTTCGGGATCACGTCACTAATTCGCCTCGACAGGCACAAACTCAACAACAATACGCGAATCCAAGCAGAATCTAGATTTTAATCCCTGTGTCCTTTTTCATTTTTTTCTTTTTTTTTTAAAGTATTCCCTCGTTAAAGTATTCCCTCGACGCGCACCGTCGCCATCGATCGCGACGCACCGTTCGACGCCGTTTCGACGTTTACTATAATATAATGTCCGTGACTATTTTCTCTTATCATCGTGTCAAGCGAGCGCCATATACATCGGGCTATCGATGAGAGACTCTCGAGAGGAGAGTCGCTTCATTGGGTCTTCTTCTGGGACACTCCGTTCGTGTAGCCGTTCGTATGTCCGTTCGCGACGATTCCGTTGCTAACCGCGTTGTCGAGCTGCGCCTTCATTTGCGCTTCCTTGGCCTTTATCCTCTCCAGCCGTTTCTCCGCGTACACTTGTTTACCCTGCAGACAAATGTCAGTTATATATCAATAAACATCATGTCGGTTTAGTGGAGAAAGTTCCTAGCTTCCAAGCCAGAAACGCGCTTAACCAAAATTTAAATACCTAATTAAAAAGAATGACAAAAAAAAGTAATGTGATATTAAAACAATTTTTTTTACTTTATAAATTTCATATCGATTGCAAAATAAAATAAAAATAGTCGTATTATTAAGTGAGTGACTTTTTGCATTCGTGAATAATCGAGATCTGAACTAACCTTCGCGATGTAGGCTTTGGCGTAGAAGTTTCCGAACAGAACGATGAAGGAGACCATGTATATAACGAGAGCGTACTGCATCCAGAGCGGGAAGTCGCATCCCGATCGGATGCCATTGATACCCAGAACCAAAGCGGTCGTGAACTGAATGAGCTGGAGGATCGTCAAGTACTTCTTCCACCAGAGATACTTGGCTACGGAGGGCCCTAACGCCGCGAGTCCGTAATACGAGTACATCAGAACGTGGATGAAGCTATTCACCATCGCTGGCAGGAAAGCTGCGAATACATACATAAAAATGAGGAGCGTGAACGAGAAATATAGTTGTTGATAACATGCGATAACAAAACTAATATCAAACGAGAGAAATGCACCACTTACTCGATCCACTCGGCACCCATTTGATGCCGATCCACCATAACGAGAACATGGTGGAGTGATGATAGACGTGGAGGAAGCTCAACTGATTGTCTTTCTTCCGCAAAATGAAGAAGAATGTGTCGCAGAATTCCAGAAGCTTGCTAAAGTAGTACCACCAAACCGCGTGAGCAATCTAAAAAAATCAATTTTTAAAAGGTTTTTTCTCGGCGTTGTCTTGATTATGCATGACTTAAATTTTTTTCTATTGGCAATTTATAGCACAGAAAATATCTCAAATCTAAAGTTCTTTTTTTATTTTTTTTATTGATATACAGTGTTTAGTTTTAATTTTTAAAAAATTGAAAAAATTCCAATCGAAATTGAATAAAAAGAAGAAAAGAAGACTGTTAATTTTAGTTTTTATATTTTTCCACCTATTTTTAATTAAAAATTTAGTAAGTTATTAAAATAAAAAATTTTCTAAAGTTTTCATTTTTTCTACTTTTTTATTTAATTGATTTCTTTTACCTGAAGCTCGTCGGGACGCGTAATGTGCCTTATTGGCTGGCATACGTAACTATATCGTAATCTTGTTGAGGCTAGAAGCAACTGCAAAGGAAACAGAGAGATATTGATGAGGCGAGGGAAACTCACTTTCCAGTGAAAGTGGAACATAATAATAATAAATAGAAGGATGTAACGGAATTGAAGGATTTCTCGCTATTGAAGACAGGAAATACGCACCTGAATGGAAATATAAGCATTAAGACAGGCCATGGCAAGATTGTAGGGCACCAGCGCCCATGTTAATTTAAAAGCTTTTCGCTTCCTCATGACCTTAGGACCCGCCCAAACGATGAGCAGATATAACATCGTATATATTAACGTTGGTTTTGGCGAGTCAACCAGTAACCATCCTCTCGTCCTCTCGTCTGGAAATCAAGTTGCATTAATCAAGGATTCTACGACATAGAAAATTAATTTTATTCTTAATGAAAAATTATTTAACATTAAATTAAATTGAATGCCCGTTATCAATTTTTATCATCAAAATTATGTAACTTAAAAGTTGGCAAATGTATCTACGCAATATTATGACAAAAACAAATTATTTGGTAACAAATATTTAAATATCATAGAATACAAATTTCGATAATCACCTGCGAGGGACAATGTCCAGAGGTAGTAATCGTATGCATCGTTGATAAATTGAGCTGTCGAATTCATGAACCCCGCCATCGCCTGGAACATAAAATGAATCGATCGTGATTTTAGTCGTTGTTGAAATGCAATCATTAAGACTTAATCGCATACGAAATTTCATATGCAGTATATATTTGTCGCTATAATTTTTCACGGCCGCAATTTATGTTTCATGATTAGTTTGATCACGTTGCACTTTTTAGCACGTGGTTTTTATATCATGACGTAAAATCGTATCATGATGTAAAACTCTTTTTTGCAACCTTAAGTAGTTTTGTCATTGCCATCGATATTTACTGACGTAGCAAAAATATTGTATTGTGCGCTCCAAAATTGTTGTCTTGTGAGAAATATTTTACCCACAGCAACAAAGTAAAATAAATATTAATGCAATAAGAATAATATTACATATATAATAAAATTATATATGTATTAATATACATGATTTTAAAAGTATTAATTCTTAACTCTGCATAAAATTTGTACGTGCAGGAGAGAACATAGTTAAACAGCAGCTACCGTTTCCGTGAGATACGCGAGATATTGAGACGTTTAAAAGCACCGTATCCGCAATTTGTATGTACGAAGTGGCGGTTAAACGAAACATGCTTTATGCACCTTTATCAGCTGGGTAATTAGTACCTAATAGCAATTTTCTCGATGCACCATTATCCGGTCGTTCACTCGCCGTCTGTATATTGTAGAACATAACTTTCACGCTCCGAAGAAACTATTACCGCTATCTCCCGAAGTCGCTATAAACGATGTACACTTCTTTTTCCTTCTTCCACCGTTAACTTGTTGTCAAGTCGACCATCCATCAACTAACGTATCCTTTGAGAGGAAAGTTACTTTCCTTGTGCGGCGCGGTTGAACTTACGACAAGTTTGTCTTAAGCCTGCGAAACTAATCGCGCGACTTAACATATTTAAAGAAGATACAAAATGAGATGTTGGACTATGCTCTCTTTATTTATGAGACTTTGTTTCTACAGGACTGTATAGATATTCAGAATGGTACTCGTGCTTCATGGGGGAAAAAATAAGATTTTTTTTTTAAATATAAAAATGGATATTCGAAAAAGAGGATATGTTTCCTTTTTTCAAAATATTATCTAACGCAAAGTCTGCAGATAGCGAAGAGTCTCGCTTTTGAACGGAAGGAAAATATCTGGTATTTCAGGATGTGAGATTGCGGCACGCAATAAACTGTATAATATTATTGCAACATATTACATACTTCAACTCTCACGCATATATTAGCGAGTGCTTTATATGCAATCTGTACAGGTATCAGAATATATTTCAGATTGATAGGAAGTAAAGGATGGGCGCTCGTGTTATTTGCTTCTAAAGATATTGGATATTATAATAAAAGTGTAGGAAATTTCACTTTAGTATTAAACGAACGAATAAATGATGATAATAATATAGATAATACATCAAATTATATAGTTTGTATATTATGCCACTTAAATTTACAATAATATTAATTTTTAAAGTAAGTGCAATCGAAGAGAGAAAGCTAAGCTATTAAGTTCTGCTTGTTCCGATACTACACAGGAAAGTTGCAATTTCAGCGATCATCATTCGACGTCGTTAATATGTAGAAAAGTATATAATATGATACGTGAAATATTGCACCTCTACGTGAATCATCATTATCGAGAGAAGCTTAAAAAAATTGACAGCTCGCCAGCAAGTAAAAAAATTACTCTTTTTTTTTTCATAAAAGTTTAAGTTTTTAAATACCCAATAATTCATGTTGACACACTTCTTGTTTCATATACTAATCGACTCAGCAAATTTTTATGACAATGGACTTCGTATGTCAAGTCATGCTAAAATAATTTTCGACGGTGTTAAAAAAGATGTAACGATCAACAATACATCAATGATATATCAATCGGCACGAAATTAGCGCATTATAAGTAAGATCGCATTACGTGTCAAGAAAATTTATTTCATTTAATTGGTTTAAAATAATTGGTTAAAATTATTACATGCAATCAACATTATTAAGCGCAAGTTATAAGCTAAAAAGAGTGCTTTTATTTCGAAACGAATGAGAGGACAAAAAGAATAAGAGGAATTTTCGAGATTCTTTATTAACATTTATTCCGCTTTTCATTAAGGCAGTTCTAATAATAGCAATAGCTGCGAAATGAACGATATCCAGCGAAAGTTAATCTCTCATAATGATTAATATGCAAACCCATATAAGCGATTTGATAAATCTAAAAGAAGTTCATAATGAATCCTTCCTGTAATCTTATCGTGCTAATGCTCATAAGAACCATTTATCTCGAAAGTAGTAAAGTAGTCAGAAGAAAAATCGTAGAAATGTCTTCTTGCGAAACAAGCATGTCATCTTAATAAATAATGATACATTTATTAATGCGCATTTTTTACATGCATATATTTTTTTGTATTTTATTTTGTTCGCTGTAATTTAAAAATTTCCGTGGTATTAACACTTGAATAAATTTTTTTATAATTTTATGTTTTTTAAAAAAAAATTTTAACGCATTTTTTTATATTGCAAAAATAACGTAAAACAAATTAAGCTCTCTTTTAACAATTGAGGGCGCGGATCAAAGAAATCGCTAGAAACCCTGTAAAAGTATTGTCCAAACGTTTCAGAGCATAAAAATTTTGAACGTTGCAAAATTAATTTTTTTTTAATACAGGCTTGTAGAGAATGACGAGACGAAACTTTTTTCTATGTGCAGTTTTTGTTAATTACGAAAATTAATTGTGCTGTCATAATTATACTTTTATGAAAATTACAATATTACTCCATTGCGATAAAATAAGCAAGCGAATTTGCTGACATTGCACATTTCTAAATGTTATTACGACATTGTGTCCTGGTTTGATGATACGTGTAAAATTAAACGTCGAATTGGGTAGATTATTTTCGATATTAAGCTATTTTTTATTATTCGAGTTACTTTTTCAATTTTCGCGAGCAGAACGCGTTATCATGTTCGATAAATGTTAACTCTTTGAGTTTTGTATTCATTATAGATTGCGCTGTTGAAAGGATTATTTTTATAATGTACTTTACTTATCACTATACTCTTCTAACGAAGGAAACATTTTCATTTACTTTAATTTGATTTCCGTAAAAAAAACAACACAAAATTTAATTTTATTTAAAATATCACACATAAAAATGAGATTAAAAAGTTAAGAGCTTTTCAATTCTTTAAGAAAGAAAGGAAACTATGGCAATTGTGAAAATCCTACGCTCATTGTTATCCCATTTTCGATCAAATATTCATTGCTAGGGTAAAATATGCATTGTGTACGCAGGCAACAGCGTGTAATTGAAAAAAATCTTGCCATAATTCAGCTCATTTTGTCTCAAAAAAGTTCAATTTGTAGGATTTTGTCTTTCGAAACAATGAAAAGGGAACTTCCTTACTTGACACGCTTCTTCAATCGGATGTACCTCAAATCACGGATCCTCGGATCCCCGGTATGACAAACGTGTGCGAACGAAGTGGCGAAGACGTTCCGAGGGATCGTCCGGGTATATCGTAGCCGCACCCGCGAGTGTTTATCGTTGCCAAACTGACATGGCCCGTGTACTTCGGAGGATGACACCGCGCGAGGTGATCGTCGACAAGTGTCCTCTCTATCTCTCTCTCCTCTCTCTTTCTCTCTCTTTTCACGAAAGCGGACACCGTCGTGCACGTCGTTCACGTCGCAAGGTATCAGCGCTGCTTGCCAGCGTAGCCGGTTCGCTTTATAACTTTGGTACGGGTACCCTCCGCCAGCCACGAGTTTTGGTGGTGGCTCGATCGGCTCTTCAGAGGAGGTGGTATGTCCTGTGCGATGAGAACATAAGACATAAAACGCTAAACGAGGCCAAAACCGCGACCGCGCGCCGTTGGTGGGAATCGATCGTGGGGATAGATCGGTCAAGGAGAGATGCGCATCAACGGTAGGATCGGAGAGGAGATCCTCGGGATTGCATGTATCCCACCCTCTGAACGCCGCCCCCTCTTTCACGGCCGATCCTGGGATCGGACCTGCGTGAACGGTAGTGACAAAGAATTCTTCGCACGATTTCTACTTCCGCCCGCAATTTGATCACGCAGCTAATTTAACATGTAAACTTTTTCGAGATGAAAATGACAAATGGAATGGACAGATGTCCTTGTCTTCGTTTTTCTGAGGTATTCGCGGTAAATTTTTTATGTCTATGTTGGTTCCACATGCATGGCTTGTAATCTGCATATTATATTTGTATATTACTTTATCTTACTTAAAGTTTAAACTTTACATCTTTATCCTAAATATCTTCTTAATATAATGTACGTTTTTTTACAGTTTAATTTTGAGACATTTAACGCGTGTGATAGTATTAAAGAACATTTATGGCACTGATTTCAATTTTACCAATTACGATAGAATTGTGCATTGCAAAATTAATGAAACCAGAAAATCAATCTAACCGCGTTTTAACAAAAATTATGATTTAACAAAGATATACATGTTATTTAAAGGGTGGGGATAAAATTCAATCCAATAAAATTTGTAGGTTGACGTAAGATCGATTTACCAAAATGCTATATGAGCACTTCGGTCATTGCAGTTTGTCATCGTGAAATTAAGCAACAAATTGAATTACGTAACCAAATTTTCCTTGTAACAATTTTTTTAATTGTCACTTGTTATCGTGAAAATGTATTTTATAATTGTATTGGCGATATCACTCCATCATATAAAATCGTTAAATTCACGATAGCATCTGATAATGTCTAATAGATAAACAAGACAAGTGTAACATTGGAACAATCTAATGAGAATATATCGGAATAATCCATCTTTCCAGTCGATTCCGCCATATAAGCACGTACCACTAGCTACACCGCATATCACTCATGTAGCCTCATTTTCGAAGCGAGAGCCATACAGCATCTCCGCATTCGTTATGAAGCAGTGTTCATGTAGACCAGGATTCTCGCGTCAGAAAAGTGGGCCCTGAAGCACCGCGCTCGGGCAAGGACGCAGAAATGCGAGAGAAGTATGTAGATTCCCTTTCGTTAACTGTATAACAGGAATCTAGAACACTAATATTTTTCAAACGCTAATAATACGTAAAACCGTATATCTTAGACTGTTAGAGCATAAATAGAAAGGACTTATTAGGGCATTTTTATAGATATTTAATTTTTTTACTTGAAATCGAAAGTAAGACGTTTCTTCAGCTTCAAAATTATTAGCGTATTTTAACTCGTATTTATTGCACATTGTTTTTTAAGCTTTTTCTCATTTTTTTGTTATTAAAAATATCATTATTACATCAAAAAATATAATGCAACAATTAATGGAATTTTTTTGGCTAGTAGCTTGCTCAATTGATAGTTAAAATGCGAATTATTTGCAGAGCTTCCAAGGCTCTTATGTACAACAGACAGATTTTGATCATGTTTTTATATTAAATAACTGAATGAATTATATGGATTTGCGTGTAATAAAAATAAAGTCACATCTGCTGTTTCAACAATGCCCGGTAAATCTTGATTTGACTTTCACGTTTGATGGAAAAACTTGCGAAAATCTCTTGCAATTTTATACGATAGATAATGAAAGCAGTAGTTAAATAATAGTAGACATACTTACTATAGCTAGAATATAGTCATACCTTACTATCTTTTATAGATGCGACTAATTGACCTCAATGTCACGTAATAAATATGTGAATATAATAGAAAGCTAATGTTCGATATGCTATCGGAACAAAAAAATACTGAGGCAGCAAAATTGAATACAATGTGCAACGTAATGCCACGCACACATAAAATAAGATATTAAAGAAGGCATAATATGTCATGGAATAAATATACTTGTAAAAGTTTCGTATCTATCAATCTAAAGCTCACAATCTATAATCCGCGATAGCATACGAGATAAAAATTTACTTATAATTTTATACAATAGAAAACATTTAAAGAATTAAAATACATATACACACAAAAATTGCAAATATATTTTGTGCATATGTGTATTCTGATTTTGCAATCGCTTTTTGTATTGCACTGCAAATGAAATAAATCAAATTCTATCCCGAATTCGATTTCAATAGAAAATTTAAAAAATATATATTTTTTATTTTTGAACTGTTCTAAAACGCGAAGCTCTGCAAGATCATTGCAAGTGTTTTCTTGTCAGAATGCAATGAAAAGAATTTTTAGCTAGCTTCACGTAGCGCGAAAAGAAAAACGACAATCAAGGAGAAAGCGATGAAGAAGGCACAAAACCCATGTCAACGATAATACGATGAGTTTAAACAGGTCAATGGACCGCTCGCCGACTGTGTAGCACGGTTCCAAAATCCCAATAACTTGGTCCACAAGTTGCGCTTATCCGCGGCCTTTATCGGCTCCTGTTTACCTTTCACCTAGTCACGATTCGCAGTTAAACGGACCGGCTCCACGTATTTACCAATCTGCAGATTTCACCGATACGTCTAAGAAAAACCATCTCGCACGCAAAAAATTCGATATATCTATTCCGATATTGATAATCGATAACCAGCAAAAAGTGAGAAAGAGAAAGAAAAAGGGAAACGTCTGGAAAACGCGACTGCCATTTCACTAACATAAGAGTTATGATCGAGACGCGTTGAATTTTTCCGCAATTTTGTATTCGCTAACTGTTTCATAAAACTTTGGTCCACGCAAGTTTCGGCTGATCAATATAAGATTGCATAACAGTTTTGCAAATTTATATGAGAACATATGTCGGTGTAAATCGTACACGAAAGAACGGGAAGCAAAATTAGTTTCGTCACGTTCGATATACGATGGCCTTACTTTCGGTCACAGTGCATTTGCCTAATATTTGCATGACGTTTTTTTTTTTGTCAATAGTTATTTTCTTTACTTTCTTTACTTTTTTTTCTGTCGTCTAATCGGTTCAGATATGCTTCACTGATGCAGAGCAAATGTAATTTTCATCTTTGAACGTACAATACAACATATTAAATTTTTAGAAAAAGTTAGTTTCGTATAGAATGCTCTTTCAAATGTCACATAGAAAGGATAAAATATAAAGGATTTCTAACATTTCGTACCTAGTGAATAACGGTACATACATTCCTTCTGAGCTGAAAGGATATTTTTATACCCTATCACTTTCTCTTATGGGGAGATTCTTCTACTTGTCGTTAACTGTAAAAAATCGTTATTTTTACCCTATTTTGTTACCACGTCGAGAAGGGATTTCTAATTTCTTATATTTCATATTTTTACGATGTCAATTCAATATATGTATTAAGGTTACGTTATTCTATTCTTTTTTACAGTTTTTTTTAAAAGGAATGTAAGGGGTAAAAAACGGGTAAAAATAAATGCCTAAAATATAGGTAAAACGTGACCTTTTCAATACCACCAAATTTCACGCATCCTTTTTTCAGGTAGATTTTTTAGCGAAAGTACGGGCCAACTCGTGTACCATAAAATCATTTGACGTAATATATAAAGCAGACAATGGTTTACCAAATCACATTATTTACACACGAAGAAAAATTTCTCTTATCTCAGTCATCCTTTAATCCTTTAACGGGACTAGAAAATGCCTAATCTAGAGTGTATTCTATTATATTTACAATTTCATGCGCACATTTTGAAATGCTTATTAGTACAAATTTACATTACTGTAACATGTATAAATTGTAAAAAATACTACAATTAAACATTACAATTATATACTACAATTAAATTAGATATTTAGCCAGGTAGATTTAATGCGATATATGATCGTAAACAAAATCCGGTGTATCTTTGCACATAGCTTTACATTATTATTGATAAGCTGTTCAATGACGTCTTCAATGACGAAACATCTGAGATATATTCGAGGAGCACTTTTGTCGCATTCTTTCCGTATCTGAACGCTACAAATACATGACAGTAATTTGACGCCAATTTGTATGCAACATGCGGATGATTTTAATAACAGGATCGAAGACTGAGAAATTGGTGTCTTAATCTATAGTGCTCGATAATGCAACGTGACAGTTAGCGGTTCGCGTGCCTCGCCAGGCGGGATGACCGAGAGAAGGCAAAACGGAACTTGTTTCATGCGATCTCCGCTTAGTGGGCCGACGGGAGTCTCGATCGGCACCAGCAGGTGCGATCACTGGAAGCTGGGTTATCGAAGACCGTCACGCGGTATCATAACTCTTCGCCAAAAAAGCACAGGTGTCATCTTCAGACCGCCAATTTTGTTGACCGCTAAAAGCAAGCCAAAGATGGCGAGAGAGAAAAAGGTCACCCGGAAATCGGGTTAGGTTATTGAAGGAGAAAGCGAACACACATTTATCAGACGCGATCTCTATACTCTCTTAATTTCGAGCGATGCGTTAGACAAATAGCGGTGGACGTGTGTAAAGATAATACCGTTAGAAGCAGCTCCGACCTTGGTTTAAAGACATTTATTTATTGAATGAGTAAACAATTTGACGAACAGCCTAGCTGTATTTATAAGTAACGAGTTTGGGGAAACGTGACGGTTGGAAAATTATTATCTGGAAAAAATTTATCACGGTCTTAAATTTCTAACTCCTTGAAATTTCTATCTAAAATAGAAATAACTGATTTTTCCATCAATTATTTCTATCTTTTTTTTATGCTTTGAATAATGCAGCAACCTTTTAAAAGATTACAAGATAACGGCTACAAATCAATTTCGAAAATAGAAAGGCACTTTACTTGTCACACGAGTATAGAACCAAGAGAATATTAGATCTCGATTGAAATATGTGTCTTGAAAAGCCTAGATGCTCGAG